CTTCAAATGAAGATGAGATTCAAGTGACTGCAGTACCCCAAAACCCTTCCCTCATTTTTATAGATTTCTACTTATGCCCGTAATTATAAGTGCACCCCCCCAAAAGAATTCTTACCTTTTCTTCCTTCTGATATCCTTTTTTCCCTTCCCTTTTCTTTCTTCCTTTAAAATCATCAAAACATAACAAATATCTCTTCCAAGTCCTCCATCTTTTTGACTCCTTCTATGACTCCTGATTATACATTCTTAGGGCATACTAATATCATCCTTCCCTCTCCCCATTAGAATTATCTTCTGCAGTATCTCCTTCAATTTCCTCATCAATACTCGAGCTTATTAGACTGTTGTTGGACTAGTCATGGGGGGTGCTGGGTTATATTGCTTCCTCCTCTTCTGCCATCTTGGTTGATCTTCTCTTGCAACAGCAATAGACCAATAATTGGTCTCCCTATCTCTAAGTCATCCTCCTCAAAGTTGATAAATTAATATTCCTGAAGTGCCGCTGATATTCCTAAATCTTCAAAAGCTAACAATTGACTTATACCAACCCCTCAGTCTTACATTTAAGACCTTCCACAATCTTTTTCTTTTTCTATTCTCTTCCCTAGTCATTTCATATTATTTTCCTTTCTGGCTTCTCCACTTTATTCAAAATTCAAAATAATCTGCTAGTTATTCTCCATATGTGACGTTTCATTTCCTACTTCTATGCTTTTGCACAAGAGCTCCCCCAAGCATATAATGCACTCCCTTCCTCCTTACCTGTACCTCACCAAACCCCTAGCACAACACAGAGACTAACTCTTATCTATTCTTTCCCTCTGAAATTACTTTTCACGTACTTTATTTATCTGTGTACACACTGTATCATCTCAGGACGCTGAAGGGCAGCTGTTACCTTTCTGTTTTGTATTCTCCCAGACTAGCACAGTGCCTTGCATATAGTAGGCACTTTTAATAAAAGATTTTTTAAAATTGATCAACAAGTTCAAGACCTTTTAAATAGACAATAATATTAAAGAAAGATGATGGCGGGGGCAGGGCACAAAGTAAGGAGACATAACAGAATATGATGAAGTGAAAAACAAACTTTAAGAAAAAAATATACATACATATATATATATATATATATATATATACACACACACACTACAGATCAACTTTATGGAATCAGTACTCAAAATTCTTATACAGTCAAGTTTTAAGTGCTTCATTACTTACTAACATCCTGACTGCAAAGTCAGGCTAATGTTTACTGCTTGTCACAGGGGAATTTGTAATTCAAGGATGTTTTTCATTTGCTCATAGGACTATCGGAAATTGCCATGATGGATACAGCCAACTTATCAATAATTAACTCTTATGCACATCCCACTTACTTATCAAATAGCTTCTGGTTCTTTTCATACCCTTTCCACCTCCCCACCACCCCAGTTCTTATATATGTAACTTGTGTAATAACATTACAAACGGACTAGCCATACATTTTAGCAATGTCAAAGTTAAGCTTTCTGAAAAGCACATAGGACATCAATGTGAAGGTTTGCTCATTAGTAATAATAATAACTAACATATATATATAGCACTTTGCTAAGCACTTTACAACACTATCTCAGTTGATCTTCACAACAACCCTGGGAAGTTGGTGCTGTCATTATCCCCATTTTATAGTTGAGAAAACTGAATCAAACAGAAGTTAAGTGACTTGCCTAAGGTCATACAGCTAGTTAGTGTCCAAGGCTGAATTTGAACTCAAGTCCTCTGGATTCTAGACAAGGCACTCTATCCACCTCCCCACCCAGCTGCCCCATTAAGCATTCAAAATATATGTGACCCAGAGCTTTCAGACCACATGACACGGTGCATGACAATGAAGTGCATTTGTAAAAGTGCTAATCCATGCTTTTTCTAAGGACCAAATTAAAAAACACAGAAAAGTTAAAATATGTTTCCTTTTTCTAGGTCATGTGAACTCCAGGCACCAACAATGCCTCGGTACAGCCCACAACAGTGGAAAAACATGTGGAAACCTTAAGTTCTTATTGTAGAGAGCCCCACATTCTAGTCCGCTGTGGAAAAGTCCAAAGTGAGATTTCTTTGAGCTTATGAATATTTATTATACATTCTTTAAAGTAAAAAAAGCTTCAATATAAATAGGAAACACATTTATAAGCATGGGTAAGTTGTTTACATTATGTAAATTCTAAAAAGATCCATCACTAGAGTTTTGTTAAATGTTTTAAGAAACAGTTCTGAGAGTTGGAGATTTTAGTTAAATGATCACACAATTTCATAATTTTAAATATTTAGGCTTAAAAAAACCCAATATACCCAATGTTTTATACTTTTATAAATTCTAAGCTCAAAGAGAACAAATTTATTCTTGGTTTTATAAATCCAGGGCAAGGGGGAAGTAACAATAATAACTAATATCCAGCAAACATTCACTAAGTGCTTACTATGCGGAAGGCAAGGCATGATGCTAGGCATTGAACTACCAAAAATCTTTCTTGGTGATAACATTTTTTCTTTTGGGGAAAACAAAAAGTCCTTTTCTTAACACACTAAAATCCCCAAGCACCAACAAAAGAGAGTTTCAGAGAAAACTGATTTTCCATGCATTGACCAGAAAGAAAATTGAGGAATGATTTAAAAGTCTATATTAAATCTGTTCGTCCAGTTTAAAAGGGGAAAGTCAGCAGGTACCTAGTAACCTAGGGGGCAAAATTAGAGCCCAAATGAGTGACTGTTAAATGAGCTAGGTATTTTTATCATATGTGTGATGTAATTGCAAGAAGCATACCATGGTATAGGAGACCAAGTAAGGAGAGATATGTTTATACAGTATTAAGTAGGATACCTATTATATATTTATGTGTAGAAAACACAACTCATTAATTTTATCCAAAACCCATTCTTCTTCTGAGTTTCCCTATTTCGGTCACAAGGCCCTACCAGCCTTCCAGTCATGAGGCTCACAGCCTCAATGTCATAGTGAGCACCTCATTTTCACTCATCTCACACATTCATTCAATCAGCTGCAATTTCCTATACTGCAATAGCCTCCTAATTTGGTTTCCTTTCCTCAAGTCTCTCCCCTCTCCAATCCATACCCCAAATGGACACAGATATTCATAAAGCACAGGTCTGATCATGACATTTCCCTACTCAAAAACTCCAGTGGCTCCAAATTACCTCAAGATCAAATAAAAACTCCTATATTTGTCATTTAAAGCCTTTCATAACCTGGTTCCAATCTACCTTGCAAGCCCCCAATTCTTCCTGCTACACTCCATAATACATCCAAGGTGGCCTTCTTACGGTTTGTCACAGATGTCATTCCATCTTCCATCTTGGTGCCTTTTCAATTACATCCACCCTGCCTAGAATCTACTCCCTCCTCACTTCCAACTCTTAGAGTCCCTGTTCCCTTTGATACTCAACTGAAATGCCACCTTCTATCTACATGGAGGCCCTTACAGGATCCCTCAGAAGCTAATGCCTCCCTGCCATAAATTACTTTGTATTTATTTTGTATGTGGCATCTATAACACACATACACACATATATAATGTAAGGTCTTTGAAAACAGAGTTTTCTGGGCTCAGAACAGTCCCAATAGTTTAGTTTCAAGATGGGAACAAATAAGACACTTGTCATTCAAAAGTTAGCAAAAGGAGAAAGATATTCAATAAGGATAGGTATTGAGAACACCTCAAATTGATTCAGCTAGGCAATCTCACTTATCTAAGTTGCCTATCTTAATCCACCATCCAAGCATCAGACCTCTTGTAAAGCTCCTTATGGCTGTTCTGTACTTAGGTGACCAGGAAGCAAAGTCAACAGCTTTAAGGATGGTCTCAATATCTTTCAAGGAAAAAGCTAGTCTAACTTGCATGGAAGGCAAGGTGAATGAAATTGTTCCTACCCCACATGGCTTATTTCCTTTTAATCTATATATCTATCACAGCACTTAGCACACAGTACTGATACTTTAAGAATACTAAGGGATTGTCTGATTTATTGAATATGGTGTGATGCTTTTGCTTGCATGTTATATACCTGAACTTTGTAAAGGGCCTCCCAGTACAAGTGGCCCACCCTGTTGATCTATAGATATAGATATAGATATAAATATAGATATAGATATAGATATAGATATATGTTGAACTCATTGTGTTGAGCTAGATACAATACATTTATCTCCTGGTCCAACTACTGCCCAAATAGCCTCCAACCACACATACAACAAGGGCACATGGTAAAGATGCTTCTAGGAAATAATGAGTTGGCTCATTTGCAAAACTTTGCTGAGTGCAAATTTAAATTTATATGCTGTTTCACTAGACAATATTGAATTTAGATGGAAAATATCATGAAGTCAAGAGCAATCTTTTCCTTATTTGATAACTCAACATATCTATTCACCAGTTTTGAGAGACCCTCATACTCTGCAGATCCTCTAACTCCAGAAAAATATACTGATTATAGTACCTTCATATTTGGCCATATTACATAATCTTTGAAAATGGGCATCCACAGACATAATAATACATTGTATAAAACAGAGAGTAAATGGAATGCCTTTCTCCAAAAGATTCCATTTTAAAAGGTAAAAGGTTTCCACAAATGGACTTTCTATAAAGCTGAGGGAACTTAAATAACACCCTGGGTTAGAGAGAGTCAGTCATTGTCCAAACTAAAATAAGAATTGAGTTCTTGACTTCCATGACTACAGAAGTTATTTTCCTGATTTACTACCCTTTGAATATTGTCATTTGGGAGGAGATTGCTGATATGAATCTAATACAAATATTGACACAAACATCAATCAACAGACATAAAAGCATGCCACTTGGTTCCTAAAAACTCTGTAAAACATCAGCTTTGTTTTGTTGTTCTCAAGACCATAAAAACACCACCTTCATTTTCCAGTTATATTAATTGCTACACCATTAACGCAGGATTCTTGCTTCAATGCTCTATTAACAAGTACTAACCTGTCTTTCTGTCCTGGGGATTAACCAAAACCAATATTTTATGTTTAGGTTCATCACGGTACATAGGAAGGAAGCAAACAGAGGCATCTTCAAGTTTAACCTAAAAAATGAAAAAAAAAAGTTTTTTCATCCTGTAAAAGGCTACAAGAAAATGCTTTGCTAATGAAAGTGTATTCATCAGAAGTTGCTGATAGGTTAATTTGATAGGACAATGTCCAACTTTATTAAAAAGACAAGTAAATATTCCTTACTTTATTATACCCCCAAGCAATTTATGATAACCTATCTCCCCTTTTGCACAAATGTGTCTCTCTGTCTCTCTATCTCTATCTGTCTCTTTCTCTCCACACATATACATACACACAAATAGAGATATACATGTAGAGAAAGAAGATGGAATCCTGGATTATAGAACACATACATGTATTACATACCATAGGTTATTATACAAATATATAACATGCATATATACATAGATATATATTATTATACATATATGTATTGTACGTATATATACACACACATAGAGAGAGAAAGAAGAACATATATTTGTGCCAAAGGAAAGACAGGCTATCGTGTGTGTGTGTGTGTGTGTGTGTGTGTGTGTGTGTGTGTATGTGTGTGTTTAGAGAGAGAAAGAAAAAGGAGAGACAGAAGGAGAGAGGGAGAGAGGGAGAGAGGGACAGAGAAAGAGAGAACAAAGGTAGCCTTACAGGAGAAGGCATTAGTAGCTGGGGAACCAAGATGAATTCTTACAATGACAGTGCTTGTGTTTAATTTCAAAGGAAGCCAGGGAGACCTAGGTTGGGAGGGAGAGAATTCCAGACATGAAGAGCCAATGCAAAGGTGTGGTGACAAGAGATGGAGAATTATGTGTGAGGAACACCAAGTATGCCAGTGTGACTGGGCTGTAGAATGCATGGAGGAAAGTAATGAGTTCAAAGGTATACTACCTCATCACTACTCTCAGCCTCTCTGATTTGAGGGTGGGGCTATGAACTCCAACCTCCATCTAAGGAGAGAGCTCACCTCAGACATTATTACATCATTACTCTTGCTGTTGTTATTTATTATTTGTATTATTACTTAAAATCATATTATTACTGTTATTGTTATTTATTTTTCTTTTTACTATTATTACATGTATATTACATTGTAATAGAATCCTTAGGGATAGGGACTGCGTTTCTTTTTTCTTATTTGTATTCCCAAGGCTTAATACAGCACATAATAGATTCTTAATGACTGTTTACTGATTGACTGATTTAAAAGGCTGGAAAGATAGAAATGTGAAGGTTGATAATTGACCTTTAAATGTCAAACGAAGCTTATATTTTATTGTAGGGGGTAATAGGTAGCTATTGGAGTTTACTGAGTAGGAAGGTAACATGAACCCAGATCTGTACTTCAGGAAAATCATTTTCACAGCTATGTGGAAGCTCCAGTGTATACTAAATGGAAAATAACCCAGGGCTTCTTTCACTCCCACTGGTCCCAGAATAAGATAAATGCCTTAAGCTGTATCTCTGGCTTTGTTCCAGGCAAATAATCCTGGGAAAGTCATATCCCTCTTGCTGCCCTGCAGTGTTTAGATTTGCCTCATGGGCTGGCACTACCAAAAACAATATTCCTGTATTTTCCCTTGTTTTGACTATTAGTACTAGACAAGACAGGGTAGTATGTGCAGGGTCCATGGCTCCCTTTGGGGAGGAGAGAACACCTCTCAAAATTCCACATCCAAAACCATCATTACAGTTATAATGGGGTCCTCCACTACCCACTGTGAAGTTAAGGGTCATAGTCCTTCATGATAAATTCTGTTTTGAGAATTGAAGAGTATAAAAAAATATAAGGGGAAACCATGCCAACTACAGTGAACAGCAAATGGTCTACAAGAGTTTCCTCCACCCCATCATAGCAACAGAAAACTCAGGGCCCTTCTGTTGTTTTTCTGCTTTGACTTTTTTTGGTGATTTTTTTTTTTAAACCAACAGATTCATGAAATTCTTGGTTATTTCATGCCATAAAGGTGAATAAAGAAAACATTTAGATCTTCAAATAACTTTCACTGGGAGCTATATTAAGTTACCTTGTTACTCAAAGATCAATTTTGAATGGACAAAGTCAAAGTGGGGAAAATCCCTACTTATGAAGGCAAAGGCAATCCAAGGAGCCAAACCACAGAAGGCTGAAGGAAAAACAGGCCTCCAAATTCTTCTTCATTTGTGACTCTACTCTGTGTTTGCTATTCTACCTGGTTTTGACTCTGAGGAACAAGATGCCCCCGGGTCAGGAACCCCTTGGATCTCCTTCTCCCCCTTCCCTTTCCTGCCTTTCTTTACAAGTGGTCTCTTCCCCAACCCCCACCCCCTTCCCTGTTAGACTACAAAATCCTTGAGGGGAGAGAATGTCTTTCTTTTCATTAATTATCCCCAGTGTTTAGCTCAGGGGTGGGGAACCTGGGGGCTCAAGGCCATATGTGGCCCTCTAGGTCCTCAAGTTCAGCCCTTTGACTGAATCCAAACTCCGCAGAACAAACCCTCTTAATAAAAGGATTTGTTCTGTAAAACTTGGATTCAGTCAAAAGGCCACACCCAAGGACCTAGAAGGCCACATGTGGCCTTGAGGTTGCGGGTTCCACACCCCTGGTTTAGCACAATGCCTGGCTGGATTGGAGAGATTGGATTTGACTAGGAAAAAGTTTCTCAACATATTCCTGACTATTATGGATGCCAGGGAACCCATCATTTCTCATCTTTGCATCCCTAGCATATAGCACAGTTCCTTACATGGCAAAGACAGTTAATACAGGTTTTCCAGATAGGATGGACAAAAGCCAAGGAGTTTACCCCACATCCCCAAGGTCAAAGTAAAGGCCAAATCCTTTTACCAGTGAGGATACTCCAAGCTTCAGGCCATAGATGGTATGAAATCAAATGTCTTTTTTTTTTAAGTCAAAATTTCCCTTTTGGGAAGGGGCAGGGTAGTTACAAAACCCTGAAGGCATTTTCTTTGTTTATATCTTAGAAAAGCAACTGGCTGGAAGAGCTGTATTGTTTTGTAGGATTGGGGCCGAAGACATAACAATAAATAACATTCAGAATGGTGGGGGAGGGGGAGTCCGGTTATACTTTTAGCCACAGATAGGAGTGAAATCCTAAATAAATGAAGGCTGAAACTTTTTTATCGTCCTACCCAGTTGGGCTGCTGAGAGTCCCCCTCCATCTCACAAACAATCCACAACCCCCTTACATTAACCCATAAGAAATAAAACCAAAAATGTGAAGGCGTCCAAATGAGCCAGGGACTCAAGAAAATGCCTTCCTCTGACTTTATTTTGTTCCCTTACTACCTTGCCATATTACCTATTTTTCCACTAGAGGGCACTAAATGAGTGTCAAGTCTGGGACTTCCCTCCCCAGGCACACCGTATGAAAGTTACACCATATGAACTGGCTTCTTCTGGGAATGACTACAAAATATTTGTCTCCAAAATCTCAAGGAAGCCGCATTGTAAACTGCACAAACCATTGTTTTAATTAACTCTGGAACAGCTTCAGTACAGTGTAATAAACTATATCTTCCTCAGCCAAGCCTTTCAGCCTGCTGGAGGAGGCCTCAGCTGTGAAAATAGCCAGTATTTGAGTTCAGAAGTTGTAAATCAGAATTCTCATACGTTACAAAAGGTGCTTTAAAAACAAACAAACAAACAAATCAGCCTCGAAGCTGAAATGATGTTGGCTTACTTGGGGGTACTGGAAGAGAGGGTAAAACTGCCCATGTTTCTCTATGATTAGCTGATGCAAAAGCAATAAAACAGAATGACAATTTTAGCGCTTTAAAAGACCTTTAGGGACAATTTATTGTGATCCCTTCATTTTACAGATAAGGAAACCGAGGCTCAGAGGGAGAAGTAACTTTGTTAAGGTCACAAGGCTAAGCAATAGCTGAGCCAGAATTAGAATCCTCTTCACTAGCCTGGACACTTCATAAGGAAAAGGACTATGTGTTAGCTAAACTTCCTATCACTGGCTTGCCTCACTTTGCACAGAACTCTGTACCCCATAGGAGCTCAATAAATGTTTGTCACATTGATCCAAACTGAGGCCACTCAAATCTCTGCCCACTGCTCTTTGCTGAATTATGCAAATTTTTTCTAACAAGAGAAGTTTCTTTTTTTCTTCTCCCATTACACTAGTTTTATACATTAGAAAATTTTATTTCAAAACAAATTAACCTCCTATCTGAAAAAAAAAATGCTAACAATCTTGAGGTGCTACTGGAAGAAATAAATAAAGCAAACAGCACAAAGTTCATAATACATTCCAAGCTGGAAAGGAAGAAAGTATTCATTACCTGTCCTTCAATGCTAAGAAACTTGTCATATTACCTTTTCACCAGTAGGAAGAGAATAGTATTCGGGAGAGGTACCAGCTTGTACCCCAAATGTGGAATAGTAGGCCCCAGCTGATTCCTGAACCACTTCAGGGTTATCTTCCAAAATGTCCACGGGGTAAAAGTCTGCTAAGGAAAAATTACAAGTAGCTTAGACTGATTTGAGTTAAAAGGGAAAATCTCAAATATTAAAAAGGATTTAAATTTCACACTCTTGCTTCTGCAAATGATGCTCATTTGTAATGAATAGGAGCAGTAGCAGCAGGCACTCAGGGAAAATAGAAGATAGTCATGATGGTCGGGATTGCACCAACATTGATGGTTTTGAGTTAAATATGCACACTCATGAATGCCTGCAGAAGACTGAGCATTCTGTTCAAGAGACCAGGTTGCTAAAAACATCCAGGAATAAATTACAGAGATTTCCATTTCCATCACAATTTCTCATTTATAAATGTTTGTTGAATTGGATTGAACTGAATTTATATTAGAATGTGGGCTTCTTTCTCTTCAGCTATACTTTCGACATTCTCTATGTAGCTTCAACAGCTACCAGCGCTGGCCACATTAATGAACAAATCACTTGAAGGCTTATGCTACTTTGCATGAAAAAGAGTTGGGGTTAATTTGGTGATCCAAATTCCAAAATGGATTATTGCATCCTACCTCTTAAATTCACCTTATGGGTTCAAGAGGATTTGCTACTTCCTGTCCCTAGTTGTACTATTGCATTTGGGTCTGCAAATCTCAACACAGTAACAAACTTTACCTCAATGGTTAGTCCAAATTCTCAGACAAGCAACATATAAGTGTGTAGGCGAACGGGCAGATGGACTAATATACCACATATATCATATTTTTTTCAAGAATTTATACCTTTCACATACTTTCTCTACTGTTACATTTTGAGAAGAAAATCAAGAAAATTGTTCCACTGTATAATTACACCCACCCACTCATCACACACACACACACACACACACACACACACACACGCTTCAACTACTTTCTTTGGAACAACAAATTCCTTGTTAACAGGAGTTTTTCAAAGCAGTCTGGCCTGAGTTGACAAAGGTTTAATTTAAAGGAAAGGGCAAAAGCGTTCTGTTCCATGGACTAGAGTGAGTTCTGTCTCTCTCTCCAGAGACATAGTTATAAAACTATAAGGTGCTGAAAGGAACCTCCAACATTATAAGAGAGAAGCACCAATAAGGAGTTAGGGCTCCAATTGCTATCTAGTCCTTCTAGATCAAAGGTGTATATAAATCAAACCTGAAACCAAAAAGGAAAGATCTTTCTATACGTAAATGCAAAGTGTGTGTGTGTGTGTGTGTGTGTGTGTTGTTCATATAGGGTTATGTGTGTCCACATCTGTTTGTCAAAATATGGCTAAAAGGGAAGAATAAATAGATAACTCTAGAATCTTTTCCATCTACCCTTCTCCAGGGGAGACTTTGATTCCTTACCACTGAAGGGGGAAGGCAGCAAAGCAGATTGGCATCAGAAGCTGGTTATTCTGTTCTCCTCAGTAAAAGGGTACCAGACTAGACTTTTATCTATCAGACTCCCCCCCAAAATAGTCTTGGGGAAGTAATTTTTACGTTTAAGCTGAGTTCTTGATCATTATCTCTTAATGGAGGAGTACTCTAATCTATACATCCCTTTCTACCAAATGTCAATTACACAAAAACTACACATAGAGTACAGCAAATGGACCCATTTATCTAAGCCAATACCAAACAAAATCAGATAAGTTATATGGATGAGAAAGTACCAGACAATACAGAGCGAATGAGCTCTCTCACTGGGAGCCTGATATCTCAGTTCAACCAAGAGTCCCAGATTTCATTCAAGGGGAAATCCTCTGAAGTCTCTGGCATAGTAAGTTGAAGTGATTAAGGTGCCAGCTTCTTCACATGTTAGCTTCTTCCTAGAGTCTTCTCTCCCTTCAGAAACATCTCTCTGAAAAGAATCTGGAACCACATCTCTTCCCTCTTAAAGCCAGAAGCCAGAAGCCTAAGATCTCTCCTTTCTCAAGATCTGACCAAATCTGCCCTTCATGCAGGTGGGAAACATTAATCTCCACCAAGGAGGACAATCTTACAAAAATGAGCTTTGCAATACAAAGATCTAAGACATCTCCAAAGGCCTCATCATGGAAAATGCTATCCACATCCAAAGAAAGAACTATGGAGTTTGAATGCAGATCAAAGCATACTATTTGCTATTTTTTTTCTTCTGTTGTGTTTTGTTTTCTCATTCTGGTGGTTCCTCCTATCAGTTCTAATTCTTACTTACGACATTACTAATGTGAAAATATGTTTAATAGGAATGTATGTGTAGAGCCTATATCAGATTGTGCGCAGTCTTGGGGAGAGAGGTGGGGAGGGAGGGGGAGAAAAATTTAAAACTCAAAAGTTTATGGAAATGATTGTTTATAATTCAAAATAAATTAATCAAAAAAATGAGCTTTGAGCCCGTGGTTCCATAAACATCCTTCTAGCCACTTGAAAAGCACTGCCCTCTTTCTATTTTTTTCTCTTACTAACTGTGTGCATTCTTTCTTTTTTTTTTTTTAAGTAGATTAAGGAATGCTAAAAGGAAGGGTGAAAGTTTAGGGTTCAATTTTCAAATTTTCTAATTGCTCACAGTCTTGCTTTTAGACCTATGGTGGCTTAATTTCAATTTCACCCTGATCCTGTGGGCACTAATAAATTGTATAGTTGTACTGCACTATACCTATACAACGGCCCATAGTTAGCACCTACTTCTAAATCTCCAATTCCCTTGGGTCTTCATTGTCTCCTTCCCAGGCATTATCTATGGTAGGAAAAGGGGCAAATTACCTCCCTGTAGGTAGGCTGTAGGAATGCTACTGTGCAATGGGCATTATGCTATTGTGTCTCTTATATAACATTAAAAAAATGTAACATTTCATATATACCTGAAGTTTCAACAAACACTTGCCTACTGAAATCACTAATTCCTTTCAAAGTCTTTCAATTGGTTTCCCATTGGAATGCCAATATAAAAATGTTTACTATATATATTTATATTTAGTAAACAAAGTCAACAGGGGTTAAGGAGGAAAGGAACTGAACCACTTCAATGCTGTGTTGTTTATCCCACTGGCTAACTCCAGGTAGCAATCTTTTGGACCTCAAAAACTCATTTAGACCACGCCAAATGGGTAGCTACTTCAATTACAACCTCTGCTAGGCTAGCGACTATCTGCAAGGCTGCTTTAAAAGATTCCAAAAGTACCATCATGTGCACCATCTTAAGAGACAACCTGGAAACCAAGCTCCTGCTTGACAATAGGTCCAGTTGCTGTTTCAGAATAGTTTACTGCCAGGGTAGAGATGACAGAGGATCTCCCAACTTCCACTCTAAATCGGGCAGGCACGTGTAGGAAAATACACATAGTGTTTGACATAAGAACATTATTAATGATCTCCTGTAGTGTGGCTGGGCTGAATCCAGCCATGGGCACTGCCCCCTTACACATTCCCTTGATGCCGAGAGAAGGAATCAAATCCTCAGGCCACTGTGGATTGGGCAGAACAGCTGTGTAAAGGAAGGCCCACACCATGGACCCTAACCACACCACACCCTGATGAGCTGTTCCCTTGAGTAGGTAGCCAGTCCTCACAAGGTTTCCCAGGAAACACCCGCAGGCTGCAAAACGTCTTCAGGAAAATATTAGTTAATACAGCTGGAAGAAATTCATATGTATTTTATGACTTTCAAACCATTTGATCACTTTCTCTTTGGGGTTAAATTCCAAATGCGCCAAAAGAATTAGGGATGGATTTATATGTTCCACGGATAGAACAAGTTTACTCTAGACATTTTCTTACCCATATACTATGCCCCAAAACCCCCAAAGTAAAACTTTATAAGGTTTGGTTTTATTTTTTTTAATATAACAAACACTTGATTATATATTAGATGTGCGGTTTTCTATTTTTCTTAAGGACCTAACTGATCATTATCAGGCATTAAATTACCATTATTAAAGCTCAGGAAAACGGTGAGCTATACTTGATCCCTAAAGTCCTCTAAAACAAATGGCCATTAAAAAAAAAATCTTATAACCTCCTTACATATTTTGAAGGCTGGCTCAGCTGTGCTTGTGAGCAGTGCCAGGTTGCCAGCATAAATTAATCCTCATAAACAACAGTGAATGTCGGGAAAGAGGTGTGCGCTGTAGAATATTTTTAACAGTCGCAAAATAATGTGGCACATTTGCTAGTTTTCCTTTTAAAGAATCGCTTTCAAATGAATTCCTGAGACTGGAGCCATTTCAGCAGCTTTGGAATTCGGAGACTTAAAGATTCCATAGGACTCAAGAAGGCAAGGGCAGGTTTTTAACCAATTAGGAGATGGGATTTACTTTAAACAGTTTTATCATATGCAGCAGTGGCACAAGAGTCTATTGTGTTCTCCAGACCTAAAAGGGTGTGCTCTGAAAGGGCAATGCATAGAAAGAGTTACCAAGGTTTTTTGTTGTCTTTTTTTTTTTTAAAGTAATAAAAGAGGGCCTCTTTCTGAAGCCGCAGAGGAGGTACCATATAACCATAAGGAGTGTAAATTTAGAAACGAGAGGCCTACTGCATTGTAGGGATTCCAGACATTCCAACATTCACACATTGCTTCAGAGCTCAAAGGAGCTGCCATCTTAAAGAGCCAAAGCTGGTAAACAAGGTCATTACATCACAGAGGGCCAGATTCAACAGCAACAATGAAAAGGAAAGCAAGAGCTAGGTAGGGATTGCTTGCCTTCACTGGGACAAATGAGTTCCTTGCCGGAAGGAGAAGGGATAGGATGGGGCAAAAAAAAAAAAAATCAACACATAAGGCAACAGTTAACAATTTTATGAACTTTTAAATTGATGTACATCTTTTGTATATTTGAACTTTTAAACTGATTTAAATTGATTTTTTTTTCCTTCCTCTTGGGATAGATATCCCCCCTGCCTCTCCCCATCTGAAAAGTTCTGCAGTTCTACTCATACATATAAAATAGTTTGGTTGAGTTTCTGGAAAATTCAGGGCTTGTGAAAAAATGAGTAGTAAGGGAGCTGGACAGAACACGTTCCCTCCCTGCTGCTGGCACCCAAAGTAGC